TCCATATGCTAAGTGTGTTGCCTTGTGCTTTTACATATACGATTAAATTTAATCCTCTAAATTATGTAAGGTTCATTGCCTCAAAACCATTTTTTCATGAGCAAAGTAGAAGAGATATTTACAATTATTCTATAGTTTCCCCAAGGTGAAATATATGGGAAATGATATAGCATGAATTTCTTTAGGTATTCTTAGACTTCACTGGCAACGTCCTTCTCACTAACACAGTTCTTTATAACCCAATCTAACATGAAAATGCTTATTTAAATGCTTAATAAAAGAAGGAAGAAAAGGACAAACAAGGAAAAAGGAGGAAGGAAGGAAAAAGGAAAGGGAAGGGAGGAAGAGAAGAGGGAAAAGAAGGGAAGAAAAGAGAAAACTATAGAAATCTCTTGGTTTCTTTCCGATGCACAGATTTAATTGGCTTTTGACTTTCAAATAATTTTTGGACTATATCTTAGAGTTTAGGCATAGAGCAAAGGTGGCAAGCACAAGGCCTGTGGGTCAAATCCCGCCCTCCACCTTGTTTTTTCCGGCCGGCACCTTGTTTCTACCCTGAGGCAGCACCAAGCTCTTGCTTAAGTGTTAAGGAGCAGTTACATTTACACAGTCCTAAAATTACATTCAGCCCTTTGAAGGCAACAGTGAAGCTGATGTGACCCCCAATGAAAATGAGTTTGACACCCCTGGGATAAAGTAAATATAATGAAAAAATTGAATAAGCTACAAAATGTTTGCTCCCCTGACTTTTTTTTTTGTAAATAAAAGCATATGTGTTAAGGCAAACACCAAGAACTTTGTCTAATGCAAATACAAATTAGTAAGCCTTTATAAATTCTTGAGAAATGAACTTTTTCATGTGAATAAACTTATAGAAGAATTCTTTATTATGAAAACTTTTATCTAGTTTGAATATGTTGAAGTTAATTCATGAAGTTATTGGTATATTTTTATATCTAATATTGTATCGATGGCATTTAATATATTCCACAGCTAAATTTGGATGCAAATGTTTTAATAAATTATGCTATTTTAAAGATTTAATGCAATATCTAAAGTTATATCTGTAACATCATGTAGTGAAGATGAAATTCAGTAATGTCCAGTTGAAAATGTAGAATTTGTTTCTCAAATGTACCATTTTAAAGAAAATATCTGACACTGATATTTCATACCCTTTTAGAGTTCAATCAAGATTATTTTCCTGGCAGATGCCTACATGCAAAGCTAATTACAATATGATTAAGAAGGGTTTGAATGTCACAAAATCATGAATTATTATAAATAGGATAGAGAAAAAAATCACAGTGAACTTTTATCTGACACAGTCTTATAAAGGGTGTGAGGCACTAATCTGCTTTAACCAGTTTGGTTTTTTTTTGCTCTCCTTGATTTTTCTTCTTAGTAAAAATAAAGGTAGTTAAATGTTCAAAATAATATTATCATAAGTAACAGAAAACTAGGTAAATCTATTCTAAAATGCCAGTTTCATTGTTTTCTTAATAAAGAACCTAGTCCCATTACAATATGTTTTGAACAGTAGTATATATTTTTTGAATAGTTGTAATGGTAGAATAGCCAAGTGTTTGTCGGCAATATTTGGCACTCCTTTCCTTACGCTGATATAGAGATGTAGATATATGGGAATTTGTAATGGTGGAAGTTTGTGGATAATGTTTTTCGAATGACTTCATTTACACAATAAAATAAGAAGGTAACTGGGAGTGATGGGAGGCAGTGATATTGGAGATAAAACATAGACAGTATGAAAAATAGATATTCCAGGAGTCTGGAAATAAATGGTCTAGAGAACCATAGTGTATTTTCTGGAAAGCATTAAAGTCTTCAAGAAACAGCAAATTTCTATTTTATGCAAATTCCTCCATTATTAAAAAGTGAAAGGTATTTTTCTAACTTAAAAATCTAATATAAAAAAATTTTTAATATATAAATAAATAAATTTTTAAAAAATCTAATATAACCTTAATACCAAATCTACACAAGGGTAGTATAAAAAAAATCAAGCAATTGTCATATTTGAACAAAGATATTACAGACCAGAAAATAGAAGACTAAGTTCAACAATGTGTAAAGGGTAATACTCATGACCTGCTTGGTTTTATTTCTTATATTCAAGGATATTTCACCATAAAATCTTTTAATGTAATTCATTGCCTTAGAAGGTTAAAGGAGAAGTATGATCATCTCAGCAGATACAGGATAAGATTTGATAAGATTCTCAGTCTTTGATAAGATTCAACATCTATTCACGGTAAAGACTGTTGGTGTAATAGTAATATAATGAAATGTTCTTAACACAAAGAAAAAATTTTAAATCAAAAACACTGTGAAACTCTAGATGAAGTGAGAGACTTGACAAGATACTCACTGTTATTATTTCCTTCAGCATTTTTGCTAGATGCCCTTACTGCAGGATAAAAAATTAAGAATGGAAATGAAATCCTGACCAGGTAGCTCAGTTGGTTAGAGTGTTGTCCTGTTATACCAGAGAGGCAGGTTTGACCTCTGGTTAGGGTACGTACAAGAAACGATCAATGAAGTCATAAAAAACTGGAACAACATATTGATGTCTCTCTCCCTCTTCCATCTGTCTCTTCCTCTCCCCCTTCTCTGTTTATCTCTCTGAAAAATCAGTAAAATGAATGGAAATGAAGAAATAGATTGCTATTATTCAGAAATGTTATCTGTAAAGAAAATAGATCAGTATATGTATACAAATCAATAAAAGACTCAGCAGCATCATTGAACACAATCAGTTTACAAAGCCAGTAAAATGTTTATCTACCAACAAGAAGCAATTTGAAATCATAATTGAGAGGAAGATTTCATTTATAATATTATCAAAATGATAGGGGAGTTTTAGGAAAAGATAAAACCAGACCTGCAAAAATTCTAGAAAATAATTATAAAACTTTATTGAAGGTCAAAAAATAGAACCCAATTGAATAACTATTCTATACTCATTAATGAGAACTTTCACTTATCAAAATATGTACATCTATACCATGAATATTGACAAACTGGTATATAATTTACCTGAATGAGTAATTTCAGTTCAAACTTTTGATTTAAATTTTAAATTGCTCTTGTTTAAGAAATCCATATGGGCCTTATCATCATAAACACTCTGTATATTCTCTTAAAGGTTTGACAGGTTTTATATTAAGTTTCTACCAACCTGGATTTAAATTTGTGTGTAGTATAATAAAATACATAGGGATTTCTTAACAAAATCCATCAAAGTAAACTATAAATAAAAATATTGTACATAATGTTTTAATCAATATATAAAATTATCTAAGAATATAAGAAACCATTATAAAAGTGAAAATACTATCTGTATTCTAATTGAAGAGATTTGTAGCACATAGCATGTGCCTGAAGTCTAGAGATGGGAAATTTTGTACAGATTATTTTTAAAAATTAAATCTGCTCTGCACACTACTAGAATTGAATTAGTACCTGTAAAATAGTAGGATGGGTTATTAAATAATTATCTTGCATAACTTTAGTCAGAAGGAAAGAAGTAGTGATCATTGGGAATATAAGTTCACTAAGAGCAAGGCTTATCAAGCAAGGGAACCTAATTTTCCTTCTGAAGGAATAGGTGGAGAAATGCTATAGTGAGTGTCAGTTTCAGCAAGACATTTGGCAGTCATTCACAACAGCGTTGTAGACAAATGAAGAAATAATAAAGGTCCAGGACTGTTGAGTAAGGGATCAATGACTGCTTTAATTGCATTGTCTAATGTATGTTACACAACTTTATTCATAGAAATATCATGTTTTAGCTTGATCAATACAGTTTATAAAGATCTAAAATGTGTTTTGATAAAATCAAAATGAATGCAAATATGGAACTTATAAATAATTTAATATAACAAACATAATACTACCAAAGGTGATAATTTATTTTGACAATCTAGGTCAGTGATTTTTCAGCTGATGTGCCTCAAGAATTTTTAAAACATGGAATACCTGATGATTTAGTATTGGCACTAACCTCTTTTCCCTTAGATTGTCAAATAAAAAAATGACAATAGCCAATACAACAGCTGTCCAGTGTGAATAAATAAAAAATTATACCTATTTTTATCAGATCTAAAAAATATTTTTTGATGTGTTACAGTGTTAGCAATTAGTTTATATGTGCCTAGATGAAAAAAGTTGAAAATTGCTGATCTAGATAAAGAGATTATAAATTAATAGGAAAGCTAAGACAAGCAGATTTAGTTGTGCTGTGACCAAATCTGTTGAAAGGAGAAAATTATTTTTAGCTGGGAGAATCAAACAGTAAGGATGTAATAACTGAGTAGTGGCTTGATTGAAAGAGGTTTCATAACCAGGGACTGAAGTGAGAGCTATTGCAAGTGGAGGAAACTGCATGGGGACAAACACATAGAGGTGACAATCTGTGAGACATTCACAAATAGCTTGAATATGACATCTAGGGATCAAGTTAAAAGAATCCTAAAGCTGTGTCCTATAGTTAGGGCTTTGTTAAACAATGGCAAGGCAAGTAAATTGAACATAAACATTACTCTTGCAGTAGCATGTAGGATATACCGTATGAGGAAGACAAGATTTCTAGTAAAATGCAATGTGATTTTGAGCTGTGACATTAGTGATGGGTGGGACTGATGGGAGAAAAACTATGGGGGTCAAATCATTAGAACTCTAATATTTGTACACGGAGAATTCATTCATCTGGCAAATAGTTACTGATTGGCAGAAATCGAACATAAAACAGTGATCAAAGTATGGCAAAAATTACTGCTCTCAAAGAGCTTGTTTCTACTGAGGAAAGACAGTGAAGGAACAAAAAAGCAAATATGTTGTATAACAAGGTAGAAAATAAATGCTATACAGAGACACAAAGCCATGAAGAGGCGTGTTGGGACCTGAAAAGGCCAGACAGGTTCACAGGATTCAGGTACACAGAAAAATATTCACGGAGCTGTTAAGGATGCTGGACATACCTTTATTCAAGAGTGGGCAATCCAAGTGTACCACAAGCTGCACGTGCCCCCGTATGTCACTGTGTGTCTCTGCATGTCACCTGTCCTCCAGCATTTCTCCAGGGGGAAGACCCTACCTCCTTATATACTAAATACAGACAAAGCTGGCAGGATGTAAGAGTATTGCGTAATACAGCAAGATTCTGCTCATGAGAGCCCACTCAAGGCCATGGGAACAGTTTATCAGGCCCATTCTCAAGGTTATGGGAAACTGCATCCGTTAGTTGCCTATACATCTGGGTAAGGAAGCCAGACTGACTTCATTTTCCCTGCAAGACGGAATGGTAGTGTGGTGAGACAGGGGATGTGCAACTTAATATAAGGTGATAAAGGCCTCACTGTGTATGTGATGTTTGACTGAAGTCATGAAGGAGGTGAGGGAAGCAGTCTTACCCAGAAGGATCTTGCAGGCGGTGTTCCTGGTAAAAGGGGTGGCGAGAACAAGTGCCCTGAGGCAGAAGGGTGTGGGGAGAACATGGGGCCGGTGGGTCTTAGAGGCTGACTGAACGAGGGACATGGTCAGGGCAGTACTGGAGTAAGGCCAAAACTATAAAAGGGCTTTGGTTTTTAGTCAGTGGGAGAGAGGAATCATTGGTAGCTTTGATCAGAGAAGTGTTGTGATCTTGTGTATTAACAGGGTCACTCTGGCTCTTGTGTTGAAAATAAATTGAAGGAAATAAATTACAAATTAGGAGACCAATTAAGAGGTTACTGGAATATGCACCTGGGAGCAGTGAAACATTATCCTGGAAATTTAAGTTGGAGAAAATGTAACTGTTAGTAGATGGATACAACTGATACAATTAGAAGAACACCAGATTTGTTGTAAAAATAGTAATGTGGGTGTTGGGTCAAGATGAATATTAAGTGTAAATAGTGCTTTTAAGTGGATTTATTCATCTAGATTTAGAAGTAATCTGAACCCAGAGCTTACTGGTGAGTGCAGAAATTATTTGTAAAATGTGCTTAGTAAAAAAACAAACAAAACAAAGAAACACCTTGAAATTTCAAAGAAATTAAAAGGAGAGCATGAGGGGGAAATAAGAATAACTGTCTTCAAGTCATTTGAACCGTCAGGAGACAAATTGGGTATTTTCTTCTGTCAATCCCTCTCTCCTTGACCAGTAAGCCAGGGCACCGGACTCAGCCTAGGTCAGGTTTGAGTCAGAGCATTACCAAGAGGTTTGTATGAGAACCCTCCAAATCAGTGTTAAAACCAAACGAGACCAGAAAGAGAGAGACTCTGGGTACAAAAGCAAATATCATTTCCAAAAGATTTTACTTAGCAAGAGGATTTGCAGCAAAAGGTGAAAAGCAAATATGCCAGAAGTAACTCACGGATCATTGAGTAGCTAGACTCAGTGATTTATCTGTTCTTGGGCTATCTGTGACCTAGGCAGGGAGATGTGTCAGAAGGTTAAAAGGCATAGCTGGTAGTAGGGCCAGAGGAAAGTATAAAATCCAAAATACTTAGATTTAATAAAATTTCAGTCATATACCAGGAAGCATATATTTCCCAAAAGTAGAGTGTTTTGCTCTGAGAAGCATTAAAAATTACAATTTAGCTAACATGGAGGGGCCCATGTTAGAGGGATTTTTTTAAAGCGGATATTTAGGTAGGAATAAAGAAATTAGAGTTAATGATCTCTATCTATATTATTCTCCAATTCTGGCAATATATGACTTTGAGTCTGGTACTTAACGATTCTGAACACAAAGATTACCTGTGATAGCTGCCGCTTTGTATGATGCTTCTTCTGTTTATTTGTCTATTTATAACTTGTCACTGTCTTAGACCCGAGAAATGAAAATATTGCTGCTCATTCACTGGGCACTCCTCACGCACAGAACTTTACCACCGAGGCATCAGCATTCTGTATTTCGGCCTGACTTTTTTAGGAATAAAGTAGACTTAAAAATGTGATCCTCAGCATAACCTTGGAATTCACCAATAAATTTATGTACTAGTATAGAACTTAAATTTGCTTAGCCCTGGTAGGAAGAATCCTTTTGAATGAGTTTTCTATTGATTGAAAATATGGATCTTGTCAGAAAGAATAGGTGTATCCAGGAAACATGTCCTGTGATACTATTTCAGACAGGCTCGTCAGAACCCTTAGAGAATTGTGGAAATTGAGAATGGCAGTACCCTGCTGGCGGCAATCTGTGAAATAATTAATAAGCTATGTATCACTCTTTCATTTATTACTAAATAGTCTGAATAACTTTATTTCTGCTGACAAAATATCTTAAAAACCACCACTGGGACATATACAGTTTGGAATGTGTCACCAGAGAGCTGCCTTTGGTTCTCTAATAAATTGAATAATAATACTTATTAAATATGTTTTTTAAAAGCTATAGTTCACTTGTTTATGTGTGGCCCAGGTTTTTTGGTGCTGAAGGCCTAGTCCCTGTCCTCTAGAAATGGCTATTCTGTATGACATATTAAAAATCTACATAGTAATTATAATACAAGGCACTATATGCTTTGTGTCATATGAGTGACATACAGCATTATGGGAAGTCTGATATGCATGTCGCCTCCATTTGAATAACCTAGAATACTTTTTAAAAATAAAGATTCATTTCTATGGTTCTGCTCCTGATCTAGCTGTCCTCTTAGATTGCTTTTGTTTTAGGTGTGGTTGTTAGAAATGAAGATCACATGGAAGGTTAGCAACAGGGGAGTGGGAGGAGGAGAAGGGGGGAAAAGGTACAGAAAATAAGTAGCATAGACAGTAGGTAGAAAATAGATAGGGGGGAGGGTAAGAATAGTAGGGGAAATATAGAATCTAAAGAACTTGAGACACGTGGACATAAATGAAAGGGGGGAAATGGGAGTGGGTGTGCAGGGTGGAGGGGAATGAAGGGGGGAATCAGACAACTGTAATGGCATAATCAATAAAATATATTTAAAAATAAAAAATAAAAAAGATTCATTGACTCTGTTCAATCTAAAGCCATGAAAAAACAAAAACTCTGGGATGAGACTTAGGAATCTTTATTTTTAAAGCTCATCAAATATTAGATAGACATCCCCAAATATTTGGTAAGTACTACAGTACTAAACAAATATTGGAAGATCACTTCCAATTATTCTGAATCCAGTGAAGTTGTTTAATTCAGATAGTGGTTCTCAATCTTGCCTTCACCATGGAGTTAGTTGGAAAGCTTTACTTAGGTCTTGCTTAGTCTTACCACTTAGTCTCATATTGTTCAAGATTGCAGCCTGGGCATTGGGATTACAAAGGCCAGCATAGCAGATGATCTATTCCAAATGTTATAACCTGTTTATAAAGCCATTCACAATCTCAGACGTCTGTACTCTATCCACTAGCCATAGGGAACTACTTTCAGACTCCAAAATGACTATGATGATGATAATCAAAATAATGGTGACAGTCCACATTTGTTTTGTTATTGTTTATTTTTGTTATTATGTGCCAAGTATTAATTGCCTTAATCCTCGTGAAAAGCTTATGAGGTAAAATGCTGTTATTATTCCCATTTTATAGATGAGAAACAGAACTAAAGTGACTCGGCTAAGGCCACAGTGCTAGGAAATGGCGAAGTCGGGGTCTATCTCTATAGTGCATGCTTGTAATAGTGTAGCTCGCGCACATGTGCCCCAGCCACACGGCTCTCATGTTTGAACTATGCCGCACATATTTAACACTGCCTTGGAAACCCTTCCTCCAACCTCTTATAGGATAAATGTTTACCATATTTGATTTATAGCTCAAATGTCACCTTTTACAAGATATTTTCCCTCCCTCCCTACCCTATGAACTAATATTCTTGTTATAACAGTGATCAAAGATTTTTTAAAATTTTTGCTCTGTCCACACTAGTATATAGGCTCCTTGAAGGAACAGTGTGTGCTATAAACTTTTTTTAAATGTTGTATTTGTTTTTAGAGAGAGGGTAAGGGAAGGAGAAGGAGAGGGAGAGAAGCATCAGTGTGTGGTTGCCTCAAGTGCCCCCTACTGACAACCCAGCCCGCAACCCAAGCATGTGCCCCTTCTGGGAATCAAACTGGCAACTCTGACTTGCAGGCCTGTGCTCAATCCACTGAACTACACCAGCCAGGTATAAATGTCTTTGTAGTTGCCTTAACAATGTCTGGAATGTGATTACTGTCTGATACTTCTGGACTAAGGGAATAACGAAATGGTGGAGCACACACTGAATATATGGGAAAGCAAAAGCGTATTTTGGTTTCATATAAATCTAATTAAATTGATTATGGGGCAAAACCAGAAACGTGTCAGGAATCATTACAAAGCTGCTTGAATGACTGTGGAGTTTGGATTTTATTTGAAGATGGATAGTGGAAGATTATGGAAGATTTTAAGTAAGGAAGTCACATCATCCATCTTGTTTCCACCACGAGGACTTAAGTAAACCCAGGAGGGCCACCTGAGTATACCGTAAACAAGTCTTAACACCTCAGATCACCTTCGTTACAACTTTATCTCTGTCCGGGGAGGCCGACCTCCATCGAACCAAAGACACACTGTGGCTTGTGGTGGGGGTGGAAGTGGGTTAAATAGGAGGAATGAAGGAAAGGTGCCAAGCCCATATTCCAGAGGTATGGTAAGGCCATAAAGTATAAAAAGAGTTTCAAGGACAGCAGTCAGGAAGGGCACAGTTTGCAAGAGAAATAAGAGTAAATCAGAACAAAAGCTGGAAAAAACTGTCCAGTACAAAAGGTCTACTTTAACTGATGCTGGGTAAATGATAAGGGGGAGAGCCTGGAGTTTAAGGAACCCAGAATCCCTGGTAACAGTGAAAGGAGTGTTTTCCGAAGGTGCACCCGGCAGCAGTGTGCAAGCTAGTTTAGAGAAAGGGTTGGTGACTTACCAAGCCAAAAGTGATTCCTTACATTTTTAATGGTTGGGAAAAATTTAAAGAGGATATTTCATGGCATGGGAAAATTATACAAATTTTACATGTAAGTGACCATAAATATGGTTATATTGCAATACAATTATTATTTATTTTTTACATGTAGTTGACATGCAATACTATATTAGTTTGAGGT